CTCTCAGCCAACCAATAGAAGTAATGCTTTCCGTCGCCGATATCTAAATAACCGGAATATTGTTTGAAATTAATTGGATCCGAAAGACCCGGAAGACTCTTAATCTCGTCTTCATTTGCAGCAAATACTACACAGAAGTATAGTATAAATGCTATACAAATATTGTTAATATTTATTTTAATCATTTTTTTAATTATAATTCTATGAAAACACATATAAAATTAATAGCATCTCTTTAAATATCAATCAATCCACTTCTAAGACATGTGACAATTATTATAATCACAATTACATACATTTATACTGTATTTCCATTAATATAAGTAATATTTTTATATAAAGTATAAGTAATATCTTTACTTAAACTCCAAGTGATTAGTGTTTTGGAGGTCTTTTCTAAAGCATACCTGAATTACTTGGAAATGTTATCATCACTTTAATATCTTTATTTAAAACTATTGTTATTTATTATATTTCTTTAAAAATTGCATTAAATTTGTTACCAATATGCAAATAATAACATTAGGTTTTTAACTACAAGTTTAAGTTATAAGCTTATAGTACAGACAATTACAAGAATATAGTAGCTATTGTTTGAAATTATCAATATTTAAAATTATTTGAAAATAAATAACTTTACATCATAAGTGATGTTATAAAAGGCACAATTTGTCTAGTAATTACATTTATGGCACATGTTAAATGAAGAAAAAATCATTTTTATAATACTTTCTTTAATTTAATTTTTTAAAAATACAGTGCAACTTCTCTTGGGTGAACTTCTCTTGGATGAACACCTCCCTTAGATGAACGGTTTTGAAATAAATTTTGGATTTTCTATACCTATAACAGAACCTCCCTTGGATGAACCCTCCCTATANGTGAACTTCTCTTGGATGAACACCTCCCTTAGATGAACGGTTTTGAAATAAATTTTGGATTTTCTATACCTATAACAGAACCTCCCTTGGATGAACCCTCCCTATAATAAACACTTTTGTCGTGCAACTGGCCGTTCATTATAGAGAAGTTGGACTGTATTTGTATTAAAAGTTTAAAATTTTGATTAAATGGTTGAATTTATTTGAATTAAGTTATATTATCACAAAATTTTATTTTCAATTAATAATTTAAAAGCCATTTCCAATAACATTCTTAAGCATCTGAAGTGCGGCTTCGGGTTTGTCGTGAGGAACCATATGTCCGGCCGCGCGAACCAATACAAAGCTCAGGTTCTTCTCGTAGTGCTGGACAAAACCGCCGGAGAATCCGTCCGGAGTTTTCCACGAACTAAATGTAAATTATGTTAATTGTAAATTTGAGATAAAAATATTAAATTATATTAAAACAAAACAATGCATACCTATAATGACCAACTTTTTTCAGGTTTAATCTATCGACAAAGCGTTGATTCGCGATGTGATCGCAAACTGTATCAAAGTTTCCGTTAAATATAACGAGTTTTTCAATTTTATAGACGTCTAACAATTCAGTGACAGTCGACTGTTGGTCGCGACCAAAATCGCTGTAATGTCCGCCGCAATCACTCCATGTGTGAGTGTCTTCAGGCCTTACGTGCAATGCTTTGCGCACTTCCGGTACATTAAGCCATTCAGTGTATCCATTGTGTGGACACTTTTTATTGTCATTAGCATTGAGTTTAATCGGTTCCGCATTAAGTGCTTTGGCGTAACGTTTGTTAAAGAGATGGACGTAAGCGGCGGACGGATTGCAGTCATCGTACATGTTATATGGATTGGGAGTTCCGGCCCCACCCGACGGCACGGAATTGCATTTTCTATATTGTTAATAAGTTAATGCCAACATGTTAGATTAAGTTAAGCAATATTTTAATACGTATTCTCATAATATTGTCATACGTTTTATTAGGTGCCTTGCTGAAATCGTATGCGTGCATCACTTCACCGGTCTTACATTCACAGCAGTTCTCAATCTTCTGCTCGTAGTAATCAGTGGTAACCAATCCGTGACCTAATCTTAAATCAGTGCTGTGTTGACCGCCGAGTGTTCCCAAATCCAAGAATCCGTTGCCTATCAATACTCCTGTAATACAAAGTATTTTTCAAATGACATTCATATTATGTGTTATAAAAATAAATACCTTTGAGATTAATTGTGGATTTGGTTTTGAATATCTGTTGCGCTAACATTGGTATATAAATTCCGGCATAACTTTCACCAGAAATATAAAATGGATTTTTCTTTAGATCCGGAAATTTCTTGAAAAACGCTTCGAGAGCTAAATGATTGTCAACTGCTGTCGACTCGTCTGTATTGTGGTATTGTTTGTCTTCTTTATAACTGAAGCCGACACTAACGGGTGATTCAAAGTAAACCACATTCGCCACTGAATTCCAAGAGCTCGGGTTTAATGTCAATGTCTTTCCGTCTGAATTGACTCGAAAGGGTCCGTTCTCTCCCAGGTTTCCAAACAGTGAACTACAACCGGGCCCTCCATTCAACCACAACACTACCGGTGCGCTCTC